TATGACTGGTAATGAGTCTAGCCTAGCAAGTCCTGAAAGGGTTCAATGGTTTTTCTAGTGGGTGCTGGGCCTTGGCACCGGTATCACTGACTTACTGTTAAAACACGAAGTTTAAAGAAAATGAAGTGTTGATATAGATGGGAAAATACACTTCAAACACTGCCATCGAGTTGATGCTGACTCATAGCAACCCTACAGGACAGGGTAGAACTGCCTCTGTGTGTTTCTGAGACTGTTTACAAAGTAGAAAGCCTCATATTTCATTCATTCATATATACAGTATATTCATTCATATATATATATATATAAATAAAATTACAGCTTCCAAAATCCAAGCGGATTTCTACTTTTACAACTGTTATCATGTTTTAGTTACCTAGAGAGTTTCTAGTATCAGTCATTTGATACTCGATGTGGAAGGATAAACCATAGTTAGAAACATAGTTAAAGATGCTTTTATAAGAGTTTTTGGAATAATTGAAACCCTTGACTTGGAATCCCTTCACTGATTTCTTTCTACTAACTGAGAATTTTCTTTTCATCCAGGAAGAACGAGAAAAGTCCAGTGTACAAGACCTTTTGCAGTCTTAAGTTTTCAATGTGTGTGACCTGAGGGGAAAAAAATCAACTCATTTGTTAAAATAAATGTAATCATTAAGTAACATGTTTAAAATGTATACTGTCAGGATAAATTCTGCTAGCTGAATGCATCAGGATCTCTCCATCTTACCAACCAGAGTTCAAAACATCCATCTCTGGTCCAAAGGCCCTTGCTCCTTGCTGCTTTAGGCCACACATCTTACACTTTCAGTGCTGGCTAAAAAGTTCACTTGATCATTAGATAAATTGCCTACTATATGCCAGATACCAATAGAAGCAGCAATAAGAAAACATTTTTAACGGTAACAAGTGACCAGTTTTTGTCCTCAGCTGGAAGCGGGGCGTTACAGTCTCAGAATTACCATCTCAGGAACTATGGGACAGTTCTGTTATTTGGGTTGCTAGGCACCAGAATCACGCTGTGGGCGGGGCGCTGAGTGCATAAGGGAAGG